TTAGAGACATTTTCTTCCAGTAGTTCTTCAACTATTTCCTCTGTGGACTTGTGTGATTCTTCTTGTTCTGGAATGCCGATAATTCTTAAGTTAATTCTCTTCATGTGTTCAACATGAATCTTAGACTTTCTTTATATATATATTTTTTTATCCTTTTTTCTGTTTGCTCTTCTATCTTAGTGGTATTGAGAGATTTGTCTTCCAACTCACTGGTTCTGCCTTCCATGTTGTCTATTCTACTCCTTTGCCCTTTCAGAGTATTATCTATTCCTGATATTCTATTATTAATCGTTTGTGTCTCATACTTTGGACATATAACTAGGAGGACCAGTCCCTAGAAAAGGATATCATGTCAGGTAAAGTGGAGGGTAAGGGCAAAAGAGGAAGACCCCATCGAAATGGACTAGCATAGTGGCAGTAGCAATGAGTTCAAGCTTAAAAACGATTATGAGATGGCACAGGACTAGGTGGTGCTTTGTTCTGTTGTGCATAAGGTTGCTATGAGTCAGATTCGACTTGACGGTACCTACCAACAACAACATTAGTTGCCAAGGGGGGGTGTCTTGAAAACACTTAGGGCTTCTGTATCAACTACAGTCACTACTTGTTGCCTGGTTTTCACCGGTGTATTGTGACCTTTATATGGGGGTCCAGCCCCACTGACTGCAGGGCTCTGGCCTACTGGTGACTTCAGCCCTCATCCTTAGTCCCTAGAGGGTAGTGGGACTCACCTGGGGGGAAAGGGACCCAGAGGGTAGGGTTGTTGGTTTGTCTTGAGATTCTTTCAAATGTTGTTGTCTTTGTTATTGCCATCCCGCCAACCACTATGTCCATTTGTATCTGTTTTCAGTTTATTCTCAAGGGCTCTCAAGGGCTTTTTGGGTATTCAACATATACATTTTTTGCTTTTCCTTTTCCACAGCATACTCCCCCTTCTGTGTAACCCTGTCAGTTTCTCCAAGCTTCAAACTCTGTGTAGGTGCTTCACAGTAGGTCAGATGGTTCACTTTCTGTGCCTCGGCTACACTTATAGAGACACTGTGGTGCTGTGGGTTAGCATGCTGCACTGCAAGGTTGCTTTCAACCATAGGTTGTCGGTTCACGCTCACTAGCTGCTCCACGGATACCCTGTCCAGGTTCGCTACGAGTCAGTACTGACTTGATAGCGCTTAACAACACCTCCCTGCAACCCCCTCCCCCATATAGCCAAACAGCAGTGTTTCCTTTTTGCTGTAATTTCCTAAGCAGCTCTGTCAACTCCGTGGGGCTGTAGTACTGCATTGTCTTGTCATCAGGCTCATTGGTAGCTTTCACCTTATGGGTAATTAGCAGTCATGCCCAGAGAGGGACGGCTCTGCTGTTGTTAGGGAGGCAGCAAGAAGTAGAGGGGACAAGTTTCCCTGCACGTTCAGTCTAGCTGCCTCTTCCCAACGTCCATTTCCCATTCCCTCTTCTCACTTTCACTTCCCTGGCTGTCTGAGCAAGAGGGAGGGCCTGAGGCAATGTGCCAGGCTCCAGCCTTGGGTCCTGCTTACAGAAGGATCACAGCAGCGGTGCTGATGGCAGGTAGCCAGGCAGCGGGGTCCCCTAAGTCATGTGCCATGCTTCTAGCTTGCTGTTTCCTCCTCCACCTCCAACTTTGCATACCTGCAGGTGAGCTTTTCTGAGCTCTTCTTGTTGTTAAGTTACAACCCATAGAGACCCTGTATAGGGTTTCCTAGGAGCAATTGGCGAGCTTGAACCACTGACCTTATGGTCCAAACCGACTTTCAGTCCAGCGCATTAATCCACAGAGCCACCCCAAGACTCTTGGAGATGGGTTTTTTAAATGTCAGCATGGCCACACATGACTACTGCATTCTTTTCCTGTGGGGCTCTTCAATGCACTTCAATGGTGAATGGTATCAGTGGCCAGCCAATCCAACTGCTGCAGTATCCCCTTTCCAGCCATCACTGTTTCCCTAGCCTTTTCACACCTATGAAGGCTACAACCATGCTGTGCCTCTTTGTGTTTTCAGAGTGCCCCTGTCCTCACACAGCATATGAACTAGATCTCCCCAACCAGAGGTCACTGTCCAAGCTGGGATTCCCCCCTGACAATGTCTCAGCACCCCCACATACCTAATTCTCTGTTTCCTGGCTGGCTCACCTGTTGTCTCAATATGGACCAGTAACCTGAAATTCCCTAAGATAGTCTGAGACTGAAGAAGGATAACAACACGAACAGCATCAAGGACTTTATTAGGGCGCTGGCACATGACGTAGTCCTGCAAGGTAGCAGGACAGATTCACTTCTCTGCACTTCCAAGCCAGAGGCAGGGTTTTTTATGGCTTTGGTAAGCACAGGTGGTCCACATAAGGACTTTGGCCCTCCAAGGTCACCCCAGCAGGTGTTACATAAGAGTGATTTAGCAAGAGGAGTGAGCTAGCAGAAAGCAAGACTGATGCTTGTTTGATCTCATTGCCCTGCATCTGGCCTTGCTCCATGGGGTGGGAAGCTTACTGCTCCATCGCACACCAGTCTCATGGCTCTGCTGCTTCCCGCCTTCTCCTGCTGTCTTGCATCATCTCTGGTGTTATAGCTCTCTTTCTCCTGGATCTAGGAGGTTCTCAGCACAGGGATCCTGAGTCCAAAGGACTTGCCCTATCCCTGAGTCTTTTCCTTGGTCATGGTCCATCTCTGGGATGGCTCATTTTAAGCCTAGTGGTATGGCAAGACTGACCAATCCCCTCATTAGGGTTCCATACATTTTATTTACATGTAACATAGTGGTTACGAAGCGGGCTGCTAAACTCACCATTAGCAGTTCAAAACTACCAGCAGTTCCACAGGCAAAAGATGAGGCTTTCTGCTCCCGTAAAGATTTACAGCTGTGGAAAGCCTATGCAGAGTCACTATGAGTCCGAACCGACTCCACAGCACACCACCCCCACCCCCAGCAGGATGCCATACACCTTCTTTGTACTACTACCAAGCTGTCCAATTCCCTTGCTTGGCCGTAAGCACCTGACTTACATAGCCCTGCTCAATCTTTTGGTGGGAATGACAAGATCATGTCTAGAAAAGCAATATAAAAATGATCCATCTCTAGGTACTGGTCCCTCCTGACAACATGTCTAAATTATGTGAACTAAAGTCTTACCATCCTGGCTTCTAAGGAACATTCTGCTGTACTTCTTCCAGCACAGTTTTGTCCATTCTTTGGGCAGTTCATGATCTATTCAATATTATTTACCAAAACAAGAATTCACAGGCATCAGTCCTTCTTCAGTCTTCCTTATTCGTGGTTCAGCTTTTGCATGCATATGAGGTGATTGAAAACATCATGATTTGTGTTATGTGCTCTGCTTTTTAATACTTTAACATTTTAAAGAGGTCATTTTCAGAAGATATGCCCAATGCCACACATCTTTTCATTTGTTGACTGCTGTTTCCACGATGTGATTCTGGATTCTAATAACATTAAATCCATGACAACTTCAATCTTGTCTCTGCTTATCCTAATATTGCTTATTAGCCCAGTTGTGAGGACTTTGGTTTTCTTTATCGTGAGGTATAATCCATACTGAAGGCTGTAGTCTATGATCTTCATCAATAAGTACTTCAAATTTTCATTTACAGCAAGCAAGGTAGTGTCATCTGCATATCACAGTTTGTTATTGAGTCTTCCTCCAGGCCTGAGGCTGTAGTCTCCATATAGTCCAGCGTCTTGGATTATTTGATCAGCATATAGCATAGTGGTTACGAATCAGGCTGCGAACCGCAAGGTCAGCAGTTCGAAACTACCAGCTTCTCCATGGAAGAAAGATGAGGATTTCTGCTCCCATAAAGATTCACAGCCTCAGAAATGCTGTTCAGGGTCACTATGGGTTGGAACCAACTCCACGGCACTTAACAACAACAACATAAATTAAATAAATGCAGTGAAATAACAACCACTGTTCCTAATGTTAAACCAAGTACATAAGGGGCTTCCAAAAATTCATGGAAAAATCGAATGAAAAGATAATGTAGTTTCCTCAAAAGCTTTCTGAAACCCCCTGTAGTATCCCCTTGTTTTGTTTGAGTGATTACTTCTTTTTTTTAAATTTTTAAATGATTTTTATTTATTTATTTATTTTAATTTAAGGTTTTTATTGTGGATTGAGTGAAAGTTTACAGGGCACATCATCAGTTTCACATTCAACAATTCACATAACTTGTTTCATTACATTGATTATAATCCCCTC